CATGTACAAAACATCGTTTTTTTTCCTCTTTCACTTCTCTTTTTGTTAATTATATATATATATATATATATATATATATATATATATATATATATATATATATATATATATATATATATATATATATATATAGTTTGTTTGTCTTTTGAATCGATTTTGGATTCGCTAACCCATTTAGTCATGAACTAATAGCAGACACGGAATGAAGGAATGTTTATCCTTATTATTGTAGAGGTATTGCAAAAGAATGGAGATCACAGTCGTAATTTTGTGATTTTACATGATATAATAATTCGATATAAATTTCTAAGTTTCACACGTACCATTCTTTCACATCCTTACTCTGTTTCTTGACGGGCCTGCGGTCGCCGGGCTTGATGTTGCCGTTGCCCTGGCCGTTGACCATGGGCGTGGGCACCGTGGGGATGCCCTCGTAGTTCTTGGTCTCGTCCACCTTGTACGTCCCGTCGCGGCGCCCCTTGAACTTGAGGATGAGCAGGATGATGAGGATGACGATGATGAGGGCGCCCGCGATGATGCTGATGACAAGCGCGATGCTTCCGGACGCATCGCTGTGGATCTGGTCTTTGGTGTTGGGCGTCCGCACCTTCGTCGGGTCGCCCGAGATGCCCGTGGTGTCCCCGAACGTGTCAACGTACTCGTGGATGTAGTCATTCCCGTTGTCATCGTAGTCACTCGGGATCTGGGGCCCCATGGAGGGGAACGGCGGGGCCGCGGTGGTCGGGCGCGGGCGGGGCCTCGTCCTGGGCGTGGGCGTCGTGGTGCTCGTCGTGGTGCTCTCGGTGACGGCGAAGAAGGTGCGGGGGGTGGTGGGTCCTGAGCCGGGGTCCTTTTTGCCGCCCGCGCGCGAGGACTCCCGCTCCTCCGAGTGGATGACCTCGGGCACCACGAGCGGCTGGTTCGTCACGGGGTTCTCCAGATCCACGTCGTCGCCTGCGGAGTGGAGGGGATTAGCGACTTGGCGTTCAGGGCTCGGGTCAAGTAGGGATTACTGAGCGGTATTTACTGTCTATTAATAAAGAGAGAGCTTTGTGGACTGTTGTGGTCTTTATAAATAAATCCATCAGTTTCCGGACGTACGTACCTATTATTGCCTCTAAGTTAATTCTAATCCTCCCTCCCTTATCGCTCGCACGACATCACTGAAGCATACCCACTTTTATCTAATTTTCCTTATTTCTGATATTTTAAGCTTTCCATATCAGTGGGAGATCTTTTTATGTCCCTCCTCCTCTCTCTCCTCTCTTCTACATTCTTTCCTCAAAATCTTTCCCTTCTTTGTCTTACTTTGTCTTACTCATTGTTTTATTAGGTCCTCCCTTTTCTCTTCTCGTTCTCCACGTCGGTTATCCCTATCACAATCCCCCAACATTCGTCTAAATTTTCCCCTTATTCCACCTACTCTCTTTCTGACCCGTTGTTTTATTCGAGTGCCCCATTCCCATCTACCGTTCCCCATGTCAGCTTTACCCATATCTCTAACACACTTATTTCTCCTAAATCTTCCCTTTATTCCTCTTCCTCTTTGTCTCATTGCTTTATTCAAGTCCCTCTTACCCACTTACCTTGCCTCATTCCTCTTCCTCTTTGTCTCATTGTTTTATTCAAGTCCCCCCCCCCCCCCCTACCCACTTACCGGTGTCAACGTCGGTGAGGACTCCGTCGTCAGTGTTGAACTCTCCCGAACCAGAACCTCCGTTATAACAGTCCTCCTCGTCATCACAGGGCCTCGAACCCACGCCCACGTCAATATTAGGGATGTAGTGGTGCGGGGGCGGTTTAGTCACGGTTGTCATGGTGGGCGGGATGTACACGGGCGTGATGAGGTCGTCTCCTGCAAGAGGGGATGGAAAAGGGATTGAGGTAAGAAGTGGTGATGGTGATGAGGGTGACTCTCTCTCTCTCTCTCTCTCTCTCTCTCTCTCTCTCTCTCTCTCTCTCTCTCTCTCTCTCTCTCTCTCTCACACACACACACACACACACACACATACACACACACACATACATAGACACACGCACACACACACACACATATACAAAGACGCATGCTTATATCCATTTATCGATTTAACTATCTGTCTACTTATGGGTATCAATAGTCATTTATCCATCTGTGCCTGATGCTTCCCGAGTCTGTTATTAATCCAGCTGTCAATAACCCCCATTCCCCTTCCCTTCCCTTCTCCCATCAACCACTTTCCATAAAGAGGGTCAAACGATACACTTGTCACTTTACTTTATCTATTTCCCTCTCCCCCCCCCCCTTCCTTTCTCTTCCACCTCTTCCCATCCCTCTCCTCCCGTTCCTTTCACTCCCTTCCTCTCAACCTCTTTCTGTCTTCGCATCTTTTCGCTTACTCCTTTTCACCCTATCCCATTCCCGCCCCCTTGCCCTTTCCGCTCTTCCTTTCTCTTCATTTTTCTTCTTTCCTCCTATCCTTCCCTTCCTTCTTCTATCCCCTCTCCTCTTCCATTCTGTTCCTCTATTCTTCCTCCCTTCCCCTCATCCTCATTTTCCCTTCGCCCTTCCGCCTCTCTTTGCTTGCCTCCTCCCTTTTCCTCCCACCCACTTCTCTTCCTCCACCCTTTCCTTTCCACCTCCCTTTCCTCTTTTACCCTTCTTTTTCTCATTCCTTTTCCCCTTCGCGACCTCCTCCTCCTCCTTCATTCCCTCCTCCTCTTCCCTCTTACACCCTTCTCTTCCTCCTCTCTCTTTCCCTCTTCCTTTCCTCATTTCCGCCCCCTCCCTTTCCCCCTTCTACCTTCCTCCCCTTCCTCTTCTCCCTCCCTCCTCTTCTTCTCCCCTTCCCCCTTCCCCCACCTCCTCCTCTCCCCTTCCCCCTTCCTCCTCCTCTCTTCCCCCCTTCCCCCACCTCCTCCTCTCCCCTTCCCCCTTCCTCCTTCCCCCTTCCCCCTTCCCCCTTCCCCTTCCCCTTCCCTTTCCTCTTTTACCCTTCTTTTTCTCATTCCTTTTCCCCTTCGCGACCTCCTCCTCCTCCTTCATTCCCTCCTCCTCTTCCCTCTTACACCCTTCTCTTCCTCCTCTCTCTTTCCCTCTTCCTTTCCTCATTTCCGCCCCCCTCCCTTTCCCCCTTCTACCTTCCTCCCCTTCCTCTTCTCCCTCCCTCCTCTTCTTCTCCCCTTCCCCCTTCCCCCTTCCCCCTTCCCCCACCTCCTCCTCTCCCCTTCCCCCTTCCCCCTTCCTCCTCCTCTCTTCCCCCCTTCCCCCTTCCCCCACCTCCTCCTCTCCCCTTCCTCTCCCCTTCCCCCTTCCTCTTCCCTCCCCCTTCCTTCCCCCCCAATATCTTACTTGAACCCGTATCGAACACCGGAATGCACTATCCCCCCTTCTCCCCATCTCTCTTCCCTTTTCCCCATTCCTCCTCCCTTCCCCCCCCCGTTCCACCTTCCTCCCCTTCCCCCTTCCTCATTTCACCCTCCCCCCCACCTTACCTGAGCCCGTATCGAGCACCGGAATGCACTATCCCCCTCCTCCTCTCTTCCCCCTTCCCCCACCTCCTCCTCTCCCCTTCCCCTCCCTCTCTTCCCACCTTACCTAAGCCCGTATCGAACACCGGAATGCACTAACCCCCCTTCTCCCCATCCCTCCTCCCTTCCCCCCCTCCCCTTCCCCCTTCCCCCTTCCTCCTCCTCTCTTCCCCCCTTCCCCTTCCCCTTCCCCCTTCCCCTCCCTCTCCCCCCAACTTACCTGAGCCCGTATCGAACACCGGAATGCACTGCCCCCCCTCCTCCCTCCCCCCCTTCCCCCTTCCCCTCCCTCTCCCCCCACCTTACCTGAGCCCGTATCGAACACCGGAATGCACTGCCCCTCCCTCCTCCCTCCCCCCCTTCCCCCCCTCTCACCCCCCCCCCCCCCCACCTTACCTGAGCCCTTATCGAACACCGGAATGCACTGCCCCCCCTCCTCCCTCCCCCCCTTCCTCCCTTTCACCCCCCCCCCCACCTTACCTGAGCCCGTATCGAACACCGGAATGCACTCATCCTCATCGTCCATGTCGCAGCCCGACCCGGCGCCGCTGAAGACCAAATCGTCACCGTCTCCTGGTTTCGGTCCCGGAAGCGGCGGAGTCTGGAAATGAGGAGGGAAGTGAGGACGATGAGGAAAGTGAGGATAATGAAGATGGAAATGAGGAGGGAAGTGAGGACGATGAGGAAAGTGAGGATAGTGAAGATGGAAATGAGGAGGGAAGTGAGGACGATGAGGAAAGTGAGGATAATGAGAAGGAAAGTTGGGGATAAAGAGGATGAATGTCAGGATAATGAGGATGAAAGCAAGGATAATGATGAGGAAGGTGAGGATAATGAGCAAAGCGAGGAAAATCATGAGGAACGAGTGCGAGTGATTCGAAGGAATGGGATAGAATGAGTGTGAGGGGATGGAAGTGATGGTAATTAGGGGAAAGAGAAAACGAATGAGAGTGGGATAAATATGAGGATAAAGAGGGGAAACAACAAGTACAAGTAATACGAAAGAATGGGACACCAAGACTACGAAAGTAATTATGAAGAAGATCCAATAATAAGGAATGAAACAAATCATTCGGAAAAAGAAATCAACGCATAAAGGAATAACTTATAATAATCAAAGATATGAAAGAGCGGTTGAAACAAAATTACATACCGGGAATTTGATAAAAAGTTATAATGATAATAATGAAAAGAAAGACGAATAAAAGGCATCGGGTTACTGCACTTTAACCATGCACAGACCTGCGCTATATACATGTATACAGATTCTTTTGTTTTATGTGTTCCTTTTTTTGTTCAATTTTCTCGTTGTCTTCCCTTATTTCATTTCTGTTATTGTTACTAATATATGGTTTGATATAATCTAATGCAAAACAAAAATCTCAAGGTTTTAAATACATCCATAGGGTGCTTCTGAAGTGTTCAGTTTAACCGAATTTAATGTAATAAGATAAAAATAAAAGGTTGGCTTAACCCAATCTCATTAAAATAATTCAAATTTATTTTCCAAAAGGAGCCTTACACCTTTCTCATCATCTTACCTCTTCAAACCCAAGCACAAGACCCAACTAAATCAATTCTTTAAACTGAAATCACTCAACCCAGGTCCTCACGCTCTTGGCCTGTATATGGCTAACTATCCTCAAACAATGATTCTGATTAAACTAGCATCTCCCACTGCTGTTATTGAGGTCGTCTTCGCCTTGCACTGGGATTTTTATTTTCAAACTTAATAAAAACAAAAAAGATGTGTTCCAAATCCCAAATTGTAATAGTCAGTAATCTAAACCTATTGATCTTAGTCTTTAAACTCTTAAATTGCTAAAGACATATAATCCCATTCCAAAATGTTAGATCGTTAAATGTTAAATGTTAAATCGTGTTTAAAAATCTTAAATGTAAAAACAATATCCTTTTAATCCTCACAAATAGCATCATATTTTAAAATCGTAAATTCTGAAAGACATTAATCCTATTTATCAACAGATTTGCAATTCTCCAATCTTCAGGTGTGAAAATTAATCCGAATTTGACTGCACTTAAATGAACAGTCTCCTCCTCTACTCTCTGGCACTAGCTGAATAATCTAAACTCCTTAAAAAGCCTGTAAAGACACAATTCAGTTGAAAACTTGAAAATGTCAAATCTATTTCAAACTCAGTATATTCGAACTCAATCGAACCATCACGCACAACCGAACCTTTTCCTTGCTCGCCAATCCTAAATCCTTAGAACAAATATATCATCTCATAAACCTTAAATTTCGAAATCGATTTCATGCCCAGCAGATTCTACCCCAACCAATCTCAAGTTCTTAAACACCGGGATTTAAATTCTATTCGAAATCTTTATATACTTCAAGTTGATTCCAGGCCTAGCAGATTCGAACCCAATCGAAACCTTCAACCGACACGGAACCGCCTCCTCTTCTCACCCTCTGCCAGTAGTTGAGTTCGTCCTTGCTCTGCACCGGAAGGATCTTGGGAACAGACAGCAGGAGGTGGACGTCTCCCCGGACGTTCACCCTGGGGTCCCTCTCGGCTGCCAGGTCCAAGGGGCGCTCTCCGTTCAGGACCAGGCCGGAGATGATACCCTGGGGGAGAGGAAGGGGGGGAGAAAGATGAAGGGGTTGGCGTAAAATGAGGCACAATGAGTGTGGTTCGTTGGGAGCAAGTTGCGGTGAGGCACAGTGGGTTTTGAGGAGTTCAGATGAGTCATTTAGGGGAGTTGCGGTGCGATGTGATGTGGTTTATGTTTGTGTGTGCGTGTTTGAGTGAGTGAGTAATGAATGTGTGTGTGTGTGTGTGTGTGTGTGTGTGTGTGTGTGTGTGTGTGTGTGTGTGTGTGTGTGTGTTTGAGTGTGTGTGTATGTGTGTGTGTGTGTGTGTGTGTGTGTGTGTGTGTGTGTGTGTGTGTGTATGTGTGTGTGTGTTTGAGTGTGTGTGTTTGAGTGTGTGTGTGTGTGTGTGTGTTTGAGTGTGTGTGTTTGAGTGTGTGTGTGTGTGTGTGTGTGTGTGTGTGTGTGTGTGTGTGTGTGTGTGTGTGTGTGTGTGAGTGTGAGTGTGTGTGTGAGTGTGTGTGTTTGAGTGTGTGTGCTTGAGTGTGTGTGTTTGAGTGTGTGTGTTTGAGTGTGTGTGTGTGTGTGTGTGTGTGTGTGTGTGTGTGTGTGTGTGTGTGTGTGTGTGTGTGTGTGTGTGTGTGTGTGTGCGTGTGAATAATACAAAACCCTTTTATAACATTAAATGAAATTTGTCGAAAAAAGGCCATTTCCTGCTCAAAACAGAGAGAGAAAGAGAGGAAGAGAGAGTGAATGAATGAGTGAATGAACGAATGAATGAATGAATGAGAGAGAGAGAAAGAATGAAAAAAGACGACGAAATAAAAAGAAACAAGCCTTACCCTGAAGGGCCTCTCGATAGCCGTGGACCTCCTCGCTCTTCGACCACCGATCTGAAGGCGTGACTGCGCATTGAAGACGGAGAGCTGGTGTCCTGTAGAAGCAAGCAGACGATATAGGAACTCGTACAGAAGAATCTTAAGGAGTGGGACAATAGGACAATATTTTCCCTCTCGAAGGAAAACGTCCTTTCAAGATTCTAAGTAACAAATCATCTTAAATCAAAGTTTGAAGGACAAAAGGATTTAATTGCTATGTAAAAAATCGCGTAACTTATTGAAAAAAGTTTATATGGGGGAATCAAATTGCTCTTCTCTCTAATTTTGGCTATAGTGATTTTAATAGTTAATTAATCTCGTTCTATGTAAAATACCAATCAACAATTCTTATTAAAGTTGGATATATAATTTGACTCAATAGGAAGACTCTGGTCAAGATAATTAAAAAACGGAGATAAAAAAGGACTGAAAGGACAGAAAATGAAAATATTTTGTTAAAAAAAAAAAAATCAAAAGAAATAAAACGTTACTAATGTTTTCAAGGTGAACCTTCTATTCTCTCTCTAAGGAACTAAGACCTACAGTGAAGATCGACCTTGAATTGGAAAAAAAAGCTTGATGCCTTAACCTTTCCAGTGCCAAGACAAGGGCGAGTGAGGCGGCCATCGAGTGCCAGGTGCCAGACGAAACCACAAGTCCTCGCGCGACCGGAGTGTGTGAGGGAGGAAAGTGCCAGCACAAAGGGCCAATGTGCCATAGTTCGAGTTCTTGATATTCTTTAAATATTCACTTTATCTCATTAAGGTTATTATTCATGTTAGATGGCTAAAACGAAATATTGAGAAAATCTAATTAGCTTTATAAATCAGTTGTCTCTCAGGGGGCAAACAGGTAAAATGTGATCAAGATAATATTTAATAAACAGTTGCCATATGTGCCCAGTAACAAGTGCATTATATGTACCGCAGAAGACCAACCATATTATTTTTTTCCAAACGCTTTCAAGCCTGATATACGTTATATACTGTCATATGTATTGGTATTAAGACTTTCCTGCCGTTTAATACATACTGTATGCTTCAGTAATTTCGGCTTATACTTCCCTACTAAAAACTCTTAATTTCTCCTTTCAAGAGACTAACCATGAGAAGTAAGTAAGTAAACTCTTTATTTCTCCTTTCTCCTAACCGTGAGGAGTAAGTCCATGTTTTTTGTGGCTCTCTCTGCCTCCCTCAGACAGACAAGTCAGTCGGTAAATAAAACAAATTGGTGCAATATATATTTGGTATTTTATAGTTCTCAGTGCTGGAAATTCCAATCCATGCTTAAGGGAGAGAGCGGTGCGTGGGGGTGGGAGTGGGGGGGTGGGGGGTCGAAGCACGACGAACTTCTCCTTTGGTGATTTGGAAAGATTTCGTTTATTTTTTATTTTTATTTATTTATTTATTTATTTTTTTATTTATTTATTTATTTATTTATTTATTTATTTATTTATTTATTTATTTATTTATTTATTTATTTATTTATTTATTTATTTATTTATTTATTTATTTATTTATTTATTTATCTATTTATTTATTTATTTATTTATTTATTTATTTATTTATTTATTTATTTATTTATTTATTTATTTATTTATTTATTTATTTATTTATTTATTTATTTATTTATTTATTTATTTATTTATTTATTTATTTATTTATTTATTTATTTATTTATTTATTTATTTATTTATTTATTTATTTATTTATTTATTTATTTATTTATTTATTTATTTATTTATTTATTTATTTATTTATTTATTTATTTATTTATTTATTTATTTATTTATTTATTTATTTATTTATTTATTTATTTATTTATTTATTTATTTATTTATTTATTTATTTATTTATTTATTTATTTATTTATTTATTTATTTATTTATTTATTTATTTATTTATTTATTTATTTATTTATTTATTTATTTATTTATTTATTTATTTATTTATTTATTTATTTATTTATTTATTTATTTATTTATTTATTTATTTATTTATTTATTTATTTATTTATTTATTTATTTATTTATTTATTTATTTATTTATTTATTTATTTATTTATTTATTTATTTATTTATTTATTTATTTATTTATTTATTTATTTATTTATTTATTTATTTATTTATTTATTTATTTATTTATTTATTTATTTATTTATTTATTTATTTATTTATTTATTTATTTATTTATTTATTTATTTATTTATTTATTTATTTATTTATTTATTTATTTATTTATTTATTTATTTATTTATTTATTTATTTATTTATTTATTTATTTATTTATTTATTTATTTATTTATTTATTTATTTATTTATTTATTTATTTATTTATTTATTTATTTATTTATTTATTTATTTATTTATTTATTTATTTATTTATTTATTTATTTATTTATTTATTTATTTATTTATTTATTTATTTATTTATTTATTTATTTATTTATTTATTTATTTATTTATTTATTTATTTATTTATTTATTTATTTATTTATTTATTTATTTATTTATTTATTTATTTATTTATTTATTTATTTATTTATTTATTTATTTATTTATTTATTTATTTATTTATTTATTTATTTATTTATTTATTTATTTATTTATTTATTTATTTATTTATTTATTTATTTATTTATTTATTTATTTATTTATTTATTTATTTATTTATTTATTTATTTATTTATTTATTTATTTATTTATTTATTTATTTATTTATTTATTTATTTATTTATTTATTTATTTATTTATTTATTTATTTATTTATTTATTTATTTATTTATTTATTTATTTATTTATTTATTTATTTATTTATTTATTTATTTATTTATTTATTTATTTATTTATTTATTTATTTATTTATTTATTTATTTATTTATTTATTTATTTATTTATTTATTTATTTATTTATTTATTTATTTATTTATTTATTTATTTATTTATTTATTTATTTATTTATTTATTTATTTATTTATTTATTTATTTATTTATTTATTTATTTATTTATTTATTTATTTATTTATTTATTTATTTATTTATTTATTTATTTATTTATTTATTTATTTATTTATTTATTTATTTATTTATTTATTTATTTATTTATTTATTTATTTATTTATTTATTTATTTATTTATTTATTTATTTATTTATTTATTTATTTATTTATTTATTTATTTATTTATTTATTTATTTATTTATTTATTTATTTATTTATTTATTTATTTATTTATTTATTTATTTATTTATTTATTTATTTATTTATTTATTTATTTATATATATATATATAGACGGTGAAGACAGTATGCAAATCTGGAACGAGACATCATCTGAAAGACTAATTGTCGAATGAGAAGTGATGAATAAACTGATAAAGAGGTGAACAGGGATTAAAAAATGATATCACTATGGTAAACGAAGGACACGAAATAAAGAAGGGAAATGAGACACACATAAAAATGAAATATATATGAAGGATGGTGAGTTGTAAACAAACGCTGCCAAAAGTAAGTAAACCAATAAATCGATAAATATATAGAAGTTTGTTGATAAACCCATTTGTTAAACTTAGGTAAATGTGATGTAAATAGACAAGGGAGAAAGCTAGACTGTGTATATACAGATGTAAATGTATAGCTACTTTAGTGGAGAATAACACTGAAGTTATAAGTGTATCTGTAAAACACTGACCCCCACTCAGAGTGAAAAAATATACATATTTATATTAATTACTGGGAATAATTTTAAAGATGAACATTGCGGACAATAAAAAGTATTAATGTTTTTAGTGTTTAAGAAAACATACCAGAAAAAACACTCTACTGACTGAAATGAAAGCTAATACAACAAAAAGGGTTGTGGGAAATATATTGCGGAACGAACAGTGTTGACACATTACAATGCTGGTGATGAAATATATAGAAATATACTAGAAATACAGTGGATGTGCTCTTGGAGTGTTGGCAAAAGGTGCTGAAACGTTTCAAAGGCCATTGATAGTGATAAGAAAAGGCATATATAAAGTGCTGACAGACTGTAGCGATGGTGTTGACATCATAACAGACAAAAAGTGTCGACATAAGACGAGCTGTGTTGTCAAAAGGCCAAGAGATGGTGACGAGGATTCATTGTGCAAAACAGCGTAGTGCGTGCCGTATATACACACTGCGTTAGACTCAGCTGGTGAGAGGGGACGAAAGTACTGATAAAAGTTTCAGTTTTTACTTGTTTATTGGCGTCTCTGTTATCGTTATCGTTCTGGTTAAAGGAGACACGTCCTGCCAGCTGAGACTACCTCAGTGAAGTACCATTAGAAGCTACGAAAGGCCCAATGCCTCGGGAACAGAACAATCGGAAACTGTTTGCATCGGAGTGGAGCAGAGGCAGTTCTCACCATGCCAGATCCGAGACCTGAGTTTCTTCAACACTTTGAGGTCAGAAAGCTCAACATTCTCTGCAAGGAAATGAGGTCAAACAGTTTTGTAAACGTCCTACGATGGTTAGGTAGCCAAGATGTTCAATCCCCGTCCGTGGGTGATGGGCGTGAGTATCCCTTGGTAGTCGGAAGATATTTAGTTCAAGAATCATAATGCAAAGAGGAAGCCCCATCCTTAGGGTTGGCCCTTTGGTATTGTACACACATAAAGGTATCCTCGATATGCAATGGCACATTGGAAACTGTTGTCAAAAAGTCAGTTATATAAATGGAGAAAATTGTATAAAAAAGCATACCAAAAATCAGTCTAAATGCTTAGCCTACAAGATCAGTAATAAAAAACAGAATACCTCCTTCCGCAACTGAAGCATGGCAGTTAGAGTGGGTGTTAGTTTGAAATCAAAATGGAGTCTAAAATTGCTTGAAGTTCTCACATTACCAATAAAAAAAATGAAGGCCATCGCTATTTTTCCTGTTCTTCAGTTATACACGTGAATGAAGTGTTCATACACATTGGAGAACCTTCGAAAATATATACAGAATAAAATCACCCAATAGATAATAGCAATATGAATTTCCATAATACACAAAAATATAAATAAATGATTACCCCTTTCCTATGGTTTCCAGAATGCCAAAAATGTTGATCTTTTCCATGTCTCATCCACAGATTTAAGCGTCTTTTTACACACATTGAGACATCCACAGTTTGCATCATATACATACACCGCGACAGGACCAAAACCATAGCTTAAGGAGGATAGATTTCACAATACAAAAACAATACAATACAAACGGGTGGACATCAGATGGTGGACACAAAAAGCCTCTACACGATATAGTTGTAGAATAGATAAGAAATCTATTACAAAAATTAGGGATTACTTTTTGTGAGTTATATTGTATACGTTTCTCATTGCAATCAACAGTCATTGTTGTTTTTATTATCCTTGTCCTTCCTGTAATTTTATCATGGCTATGATTATTAACATTATAATAACCATTTTCATCATTAGAATCATTACTATACTATTATCATTGTTATTATATATATGTTATTACTATTACCATCATTGCTTCTATCTGTATTATATAATTCTATCATTATCAAATACTTCCGTTTTTATAATTTCTATATCACCAAATACTCATCATATAATCTTTATTTATATTTGTAATTATCATTCTGGTCATTTCAGTCATTGCAATCGTTGGTCATAAAAGAAAAAAAAAATATATATATACTCACTAAACCAGAGAAAGTGACAATGACTAATATTTTATAACGATATATATTTTTTTTAATGTGAGGCATTGACGAAATGGCTGGATCCTCTTTCTGCAATATGCAAAGTATATCTGACGTCGCATGACACTTATAACGAGTGATAACATAATAAAATATGGAAATGCATTTTATATGTATGATAGATTTTGTATCTTAACACCCAACACATTCTGAAATGTCTATCATTAGCAATCCTTATTTTTAGCATTTTAAAATTCATGACTTTTATCATTTCCATTGCCTTTTCATAACTGCTACTAATATGGTCAGCGTTATCTGCCATCTTCATTACACACACTCACACACACGCATGCACGCACGCACGCACGCACGCACGCACGCACGCACGCACACACACACACACACACATACACACACACACACACACACACACACACACACACATACACATACATACACATCTATGTTTTTTCTTTTCTTTTTCTGTAGCTAGAACATCTTTTAATGATTGCTTTGGTTTAATCATATACATTGTATGTTATTCTAGATCAGCTATGAGAATTTTGTGTTTTTTATAATATGAAATACTCGTTGATTCAGTAAATAATCTTGTTCGTATTATAGTTCTCGCTGTCTTGTCATTCACATAAAATGCAGTTATTATACAAACATTCCCCACATTTCATTCAGCAAATATAAGCAAGTAAAATGTAATCACAGAAATTGATCATCAAAAATGTGCATATACTTGTATTCCCTGGAAGCGATAATAATGCATTTGTGCTCGTATTACTTGGTAAGAATGAAAGGACACAAGTATATCTCATAAAATGAGGATGATAGAACAGTGCATATATGCTCGTAATCCCAGGGAAATAAAAATGATACGTTTATGCTCGTATCCAATGAAGAGAACAAATAGATGCAAAATAGAAATGCAAAAATGTTCGCACTCAGATACATGGAAAGCATTGCATATATATGTTCAGCTCCAGTGAATAAAATGAAGCAATGCAGATATATTCGTATCCCTTGAGAAAAAAGAAAGCATTGCATTTACACTCATATACCCTGAGAAGAAAAAAAGAATTACAATGCTCGTATCCACTTCTAGAAACCCATGAGAACTAAAAATAGAAATATGCCCGTTATCTCCTTACAAAAAAACGACAACCTTAGAGCGCCGAAAACTCACCTTTGGGATTCTTAGAACGAACTTCGTAGTCGTCGATCTGCACTGTGGCGTTGGAGCCTGACCTGATGAAGCGGACCACGTGATAGATGCCGTCGTTGACCTTCGCCATGACCTCGCCTATGGGGTGGTCCTCCGTGCCCATGTTGTAGACCATGAAGATGTTGCCGTCGACCTGGAGGTTGAGTGTTAGTTTTGGAGGGGATGAATGAGAAGGAAAACGGTATTTATATAGGGAATGGAAGGAAATTGTGCTTGTTTATTCTGAAGGGAAGGAGTGTGGATATCATTATTTTGAGGAAGATGAAATGAAGTACTGCATTCTCTGAGAATTTTCTTTTATAAGTATTACTAAATGCCTATCAACTGACTGCCATATTAGATGTATTGCATAAGCTGAAGACAGGTTGTATAACTGGTATTTATATAGGGATATAGAGGTTGTATATTTATATATTAATATGTGAATATAGATACCTATAAATATAAATACCTATATGTACCTATATAAATAAATTGTATATTTATTTATATTTATATAGGAATATAGAGGTTGTATAACTGGTATTTATATAGGGAATGGAGGGAAATTATGCTTGTTTATTCTGAAGGGAAGGAGTGTGGACATCATCAATTTGAAATGAAGTCCTGCATTCTCTGAGAATTTTCTTTTACAAGTATTACTAAATGTCTATCAACTAACTGCCAAATTATTCGTATTGCACAAGCTCCAGAGGTCGAATAACTATTCATATGCTCTTAGGGAATTCTAATCTTACGATCTCCAGCTCCATGTAGTCATTGGAATTGGCCGAGTCCAGCCTCAACATGACCGCATCCTCCTGCGAGGTCATGAAGCCAAGCGCCAGCAGGTCACGGCGGGTGTCAGGCCATCTGCCCTCGGGGTACTGGAAGGTCATGATGCCAGCGCCGCCGCCGAACTCATACGCCGTGGATTCTGGAGGCGGGATTAGTACAGGTATTCAGGAAGAACTCGCTGGAATTTTAATTTTCTTCCTGGGCTTTTCATTATTAAACTAATATCTGATTAATTACTCTCATAGTGACGTATATCTTCATACTCTCGAAGAAAAAAAATCTAATCACTATCATTTGCCATAATCATTATTATTCAATTAGGAAGGAAACAAGACATGGAGGAAATCTCCTCACCATCAGAGCAAGTGGGACCAGTGAAGGAAGTCATGTCGCAGTTGCATGAATAGGAGTTCCACTGTTGCACGCACGTCCCGCCGTTTGCACATGCATTCCGGTGACACTTTGTACTTGGTCCTGGGATGAAGAGAGGGAAAAAATATTCAAGTGAGCCAAGCATAAAAATAGGAAATAGATTAATGGGGAATTGAGTTCAGCTGGTAAATTCGTTATATATGTGTATATTAAAGAGATTCTTATGTTGTTCTTTTAATTTTGTTCTTTCCTATAAACATATCTACGCATTCTTCCTAGTGAACTCATACAGAAAATGAAAACAATAGAAAAGAGAGAAAAAAGAGACGACTAGAAATATATGATTATGATAGGAAAGAGTATGTACTCTTCCTATTCAGCAAACAAAACACAAACAAATAAATGAATAGAAGTAAGGGAAAAAATAAAGTAAACCATGAAAATAAGACTAAAATTAATATAATAAAGAAGAGTCAGTGATCTTCGACGCACCATCACAGCCTGGGAAGACGGGGCTTGAAATCAGAGGAACGTCCTTGCCCGCCGGGTCAGGAGCTTCGCCGTTGAGGTCGAGGGACGCGATACAGCCTTCGAAGCCCGTGCGAGACTCAACGTGGCGAGGGAGGCTGGTGTACATCTCAGGAGGAAGGCCGCCTGGGGAGAGAGAGGGAGAGATTGAGTCAACGTTTGGGGAGAGAGAAAGAGAGATTGAGTCAACGTTTGGGGTGATAGTTTGGTGAACGTTTCGGGAAAGATTTTGGTGGACGTATGGGGAGAGAGATGGAGAGATTTGCATAAATATTTGGGGAGGTATTTTGGTGAGCATTTAGGATGAACGTTTCTGGAGAAAGGAGAAGTTTTGATAAACGTTTGTGGAGAGAGAAGAGATTTGGGTGAACGTTTCTAGAGGGAGAAGGAGAGATTTGGGTGAACGTTTGTGGAGAGAGGAGAGGTTTGAGTGAACGTTTGAAGAGAAAGAAAGAAAGATTTGGGTAAACGTTCAGAGAAAGAGAGAGGGAGATATTTAGATGAACGTTTTCAGAGAGAGGAGATATGGTGAACGTTTGGGGAAAGAAAGGGAGATTTTCTGGGTGAACGTTTGTGAAGAGAGAAGGATAGATAAATGCTTCGTGAGAGAGGAGAGATGTGGGTGAACATTTAGGGCAAGAAAGGGGGAAATTTGGGTTAACGTTTGTGAAGAGAAAAGAAGAGATTTGGGTGAAGGTTTAGGGAAAGAGTAGTTTAGATTTGGGTGAATGTTTGTGAAAGGAGAAGGAGAGGTTTCATTAAACGTTAGGGGAGAGAGAATGAGAGATTAGGATGACCGTTTGGATAGAGGAGAGATGTGGATCAACGTTTGTGAAGAGAGAAGCAAATGTTTTGGTAAACATTTGGGGAGATAGGAGAGATTTAGGTGAACATTTGGAGAGAGAGGAGAGATGTGGCTGAATGTTTGGGGAAAGAGAGGAAGATATCTGGGTTAACGTTTGGGGAGAAAGAAGGAGAGATTTGGGTGAAAGTTCGGGTATATGAGAAGAAGAGATTTGGCAGAGCGTTCCTAAGCGATAAACCAAATTGAGGATATGGGAGAAATAGTGAAACATCAAAATCCAAAACCTTAATAATGAATCAAACGTGAATGACAAAGAACGAACGTATAACAACAGCACGAGTCCCTCCTTTCATACCTAGGTAGAGGAAGTCTTGGAGATCCAGGTTACCGTTGCTTCCTCCGCTGATAACCTTCGCGGTGTTATCGTCGACCATGAGCGTGTGCTGTCGTTTCGAGGGGCGGCTCACTGTCACGGCGTGCCACTTGTTGTCATTGAGAGCCATCTTGTTGTTGTCTCTTAGTCGAACCGGCCGGTCGCCCAGGTTGAAGATCAGGTGGATGTGGCCGTTGACGAGCTCGATGGCCAGGAAGTCGTGGCCTGGGAGGAGGTAGGAAGGTGAGTTCCAGATTGGAGGAAGAAGGAAGAAGGGGTAATGGTTGTGGATATGGAGGTAATGCTGTAAATTTGTTAATAGGAGATGGAAAGGGGAGGGATAGAGGCAGAAGGAAAAGAGTAACTTTGGTCTACAGAATTTGATAGAAAATCAAGGCACTGCGAAGCAATGGTTTTGTCTCCTCAGCGTTTATCAAAACTCCCACACACGTGTTCTCTCTCTCTCTCTCTCTCTCTCTCTCTCTCTCTCTCTCTCTCTCTCTCTCTCTCTCTCTCTCTCTCTCTCTCTCTCTCTCTCTCTCTCTCTCTCTCTCTCTCTCTCTCTCTCTCTCTCTCTCTCTCTCTCTCTCATACATACACACAGATAAACAAACAAAAATATAAAGAACAAAAAATAAAGAAGAAACAAAGACGAACTAGATGAAGAAAAAGTACAAAAAAACTGAAGCAGAAGAAAACAAAACAAAAAAAAAAGTGCCACAAGAAGAAGCAGACTAAGATAGACAAAAAGAAGAAGAACAAGAATAAGAGACAAAAACAAGAAGGAATAAAGGAGAAACACCCAAAAGCCCCCAAACATACCTTTGCCACCATTGAACATGATGAGTCCATTGGGCTGCAGGGTCTTGAACTGAAAATAGATGTTGGTGGAGGAGTAGGCCTTGAGCTGAGGCAGGGCGACGAAGGCCGAGCGGGACTTGAAGGTCACTGGGTGGTGGATGATGCGGGCGCCCTTGCCGAACTCCGCCGTCACCTGCAGGAGGGAAGGGCGTCAAGGAAGCTGGCGAGTGGGTTGCGAGAGGAAGGGAAAAAGAGGGTGGTGGTGGTAGGATGGAAGGATGGGAGGAAGGGGTGGTGGTAGGATGGGAGGATGGGGGGGAAGGGGTGGTAGTAGGAGGGAAGGATGGGGTATTGGTAGGATGGAAGGATGGGAGGTGAGGGGTGTTGGTAGGATGGGAGGATGGGAGGAAGGGGTATTGGTAGGATGGAAGGATGGGGGGAAGGGGTGGTGGTAGGATGGAAGGATGGGGGGAAGGGGTGGTGGTAGGATGGAAGGATGGGGGGAAGGGGTGTGGAAGGATGGAGGAAGGGGTGTGGTAGGATGGAAGGATGGGGGGAAGGGGTTGTGGTAGGATGGAAGGATGGGGGGAGGGGTGTTGGTAGGATGGAAGGATGGGAGGAAGGGGTGTTGGTAGGATGGAAGGATGGGAGGAAGGGGTGCTGGTAGGATGGAAGGATGGGAGGGAAGGGGTGGTGGTAGGATGGAAGGATGGGGGAAGGGGTGTTGGTAGGATGGAAGGATGGGAGGAAGGGGTGCTGGTAGGATGGGAGGAAGGGGTGGTTGGTAGGATGGAAGGAGGGGGGGAAGGGGTGGTGGTAGGATGGAAGGATGGGGGGGAAGGGGTGTTGGTAGGATGGAAGGATGGGGGGAAGGGGTGGTTGGTAGGATGGAAGGATGGGGGGAAGGGGTGGTGGTAGGATGGAAGGATGGAGGGAAGGGGTGGTGGTAGGATGGGAGGATGGGGGGAAGGGGTGTTGGTAGGATGGAAGGATGGGGGGAAGGGTGCTGGTAGGATGGAAGGATGGAGGGAAGGGGTGGTGGTAGGATGGAGGATGGGGGGAAGGGGTGTGGTAGGATGGAAGGATGGGGGGAAGGGGTGGTGGTAGGATGGAAGGATGGGGGGAAGGGGTGGTGGTAGGATGGAAGGATGGGAGGAAGGGGTGGTGGTAGGATGGAAGGATGGGGGGAAGGGGTGTTGGTAGGATGGAAGGATGCGAGGAAGGGGTGTTGGTAGGATGGGAGGATGGGAGGAAGGGGTGGTGTTAGGATGGGAGGATGGGGGGAAGGGATGTTGGAAGGATGGAAAGATGGGGGGAAGGGGTGTTGGTAGGATGGAAGGAGGGGGGGGAGGGGTGGTGGTAGGATGGGAGGAGGGGGGGAAGGGATGTTGGAAGGATGGGAGGAAGGGGTGTTGGTAGGATGGAAGGAGGGGGGGAAGGGGTTGTGGTAGGATGGAAGGATGGGGGGAAGGGGTGTTGGTAGGATGGAAGGAGGGGGGGAAGGGGTGGTGGTAGGATGGGAGGATGGGAGGAAGGGGTGGTGGTAGGATGGACGGAGGGGGGGAGGGGTGGTGGTAGGATGGAAGGAGGGGGGGAAGGGGTGTTGGCAGGATGGAAGGAGGGGGGAAGGGGTGTTGGTAGGATGGAAGGATGGGGGGAAGGGGTGTTGGTAGGATGGGAGGATGGGGGGAAGGGGTGGTGGTAGGATGGAAGGATGGGGGGAGGGGTGTTGGTAGGATGGGAGGATGGGGGGGAGGGGTGGTGGTAGGATGGAAGGATGGGGGGGAGGGGTGGTGGTAGGATGGAAGGAGGGGGGGAGGGGTGGTGGTAGGATGGGAGGATGGGGGGGAGGGGTGGTGGTAGGATGGAAGGATGGGGGGGAGGGGTGGTGGTAGGATGGGAGGATGAGAGGAAGGGGTGGTGGTAGGATGGAAGGAGGGGGGGAGGGGTGTTGGTAGGATGGGAGGATGGGGGGGAGGGGTGGTGGTAGGATGGGAGGATGGGGGGGAAGGGGTGTTGGTAGGATGGACGAATGGGGGGAAAAGATGGTGGTAGGATGGAAGGATGGAAGGAAGGGGTGTTGGCAGGATGGAAGGATGGTGGCGTTGATAGACTGAGCTCAAGGATTGAATAGGAGGAGGATGGTGTTTGTGACGTGATGGTTTAGGTTATGGTAATACACTCAATGGAATAGCATGAGGATAGAGTTAGTCGTAAGGAATGATGTTATGGTGTTATAGTGTGTTCATACTACATATAATGGGAGATCCCGGAATTAGTGTCAGAGGCTGAATGATGTTTTTAGGATTCATACGGACAGGATGTTGAATAGCGTTGATGATCCTTGCAATGTAATGTCTGGAGGATAATGTTACAAGCAGGAAGGGATGGCGAAGTGGTAATCGTGGAATATGATTATGTTCGGGCAGTTTTAGCAAGGATGTATAACGAAGATGTTTTGTTATTGGCAATGTTCAGTAGGATATGGGATTATTACTAGTGCCACTCATAAATGATGGTATTTAACGCTTTTGATATTTTAGCAAAGAGATGAGATAAGGGTGCTATTAACAATATGCGTAGTCGAAATATAGGACAGTGTTCATGATAACATTCAATAAATATTAACATGATTTCTAAAAGGATGCAGGTATTTGTCTCCTCGGACAACAGACAATGATACAACGAAGGGAAGTTCAGGAAAACACACGAATAAGCCGAAAGCCTTTCCGCATTTACTGCTTCATCAGGGCAGTAAATGCGGAAAGGGCTTCGGCATATTCGTGTGTTTTCCTGAACTTCCCTTCGTTGTTCTTCCTGCAATTTGTTTGACATGAATTCCACACAGACGATGATACGTAAATTGTTAATGTATTTTAGCCAGATATATCCTCTAGTTCATGTTACAATATTGCAAGTGCAAGTTGACGCTAGTGATAATAACGTTGAGATAATCAGCTTGACAAAAATAAGGAATATATCTGATATATTCTCCGTGCACAAATTACAGCATTTATCAAAGAGCAACTGGATGTGTATTTGCAAATCTTTGAAATATATTTATCGCAATAAAGTAAATTCATTTACATGGAACTAGAATATACTGAAGAATCATTTCATGAATTATTTGTATATATTTCGCTTTATTCATAAGAATGTCTGTGGCACAAATACTAATATCATTATGAAATTATCATCTGATGCAGACGTACCCTTCTTCTCTCATGTATTTACTGAAATATCTTTGGTCTTGGATTATCACACAGCTCTTCAGTCACTTGGAATACAGGAGAATAATTCATATCATTACCATGGCATCTAAATTATGATCATTCCCTTTGTTAAAAAATCCCTCACCTCAAATCTGTCGCCGTGTCCAGAGCGAGCCATTTCAAACAGGTATTCTCCATTCATATAAAAACTCTGCATCTGTCCTATAAAGGGAGCGACGGGGCCCTGGTTCGAGCTAGTAGGAGACGGGGAAAGAGGAACAGAAGAAGAAGAGGACGTGGAAGAGGAAGAGGAAGAGAGGGAAGAGTAAGTGGAAGTGGGTCTCCATTTGCTGGTGGAGTTGTCATGGACCATGCCTATGTGGATGTCCCGGTACTGAAGTATGCTGTGGCGGCCCATCGTGTGGTCTGTGGAAGAGGGGATAGCAAAGGGTTACAACTGGTAATGCAGGTGATGTTCTTAGCATTTGTCGTGGATAGAATACTGTTGGTAATGATTAATGATAAAATTTTTAGCAATATCTAAATCATCATCATCCAAATTGCTGTCATAATCATCGTCATCATCTTCAGAACACCCATTTACATCACCACCAAGCTTGTCCTCACAGACATCATCACTATCGTATTCAAAGCTGTCAATATCCATATAATCCTGTCATAACCATCTGCCAATTTGTCATCAGTCGTTGAAATCCTAGTAATTATCCACGATCATAATTTCACATCACATTAAAATCCTGAAAATATTATGATATCACGTGACTTATAATCAATAATGACAAAGATTACTCCCTATTTTGGATCCACTGTTGCCGAACTCACCTTGGACAGGCGCTTCCTTGTCCACTTGAAGCGTGATCTGTGTAGCGCGTCGGACCAAGTGTACAGTGTGCCATTGGTGATCATTAAGTCCGTTTCCAGCGTGTACAACCTGTAATGACCATGTTGGGTGTAACTCTCGTTTGCTGTTATTGTTGGCATCATCAATACTATCATTATTAATAGTAGCAGTATTAATAGTATTGTCATTAGTATTATCATGATTTTCCTCTTTCTCCTCCTCCTCCTCCTCTTCCTGCTGCTGCTCCTCCTCCTCCTCCTCCTCCTCCTCCTCCTCCTCATCATCATCATCATCATCATCATCATCATCATCATCATCATCATCATCATTATCATCATTATCATCATCATCATTATGATAATAATAATAATGATAGTAGTAGTAATAATAATAATAATGATGATGATAATGATAATGATAATAATAATAATGATCATTATTATTGTTGTTGTTATCCTATGTTTTACATGATTTGATCTAGTTACTTTTATGAATATCTTTTAAATTATTGCATCTACTCTTCTAATGAATCTTCTCTTTTACATCTATCTCTCTTTGTTACCATTGTGAGTAATGTATTAATTAGTCCTTTTACCTCTTATTGATAGTTCATCATAGTAAATCATAATTATGCCATCTGGCCCACACACTGTGTACTGTACTTAATTAGAGTAGATAAATGCTTAATAATGCTTCTATATTTAAGAGCTTTCAGATTCGACTCAAAAACTACCGTTATCTTCCTTACATATTGTGTAGGCCTACTGATTGTCATCTTCATGTACTATTATTTAATTCCTCATTTCTTATCTCCCAAGTCTCACCTTATCTCGATCTTCCGACCTGACGGTGAGCCTCAGCATCCCCTTTATCTCTTCCTCATCTTCTCTCTCTCTCTCTCTCTCTCTCTCTCTCTCTCTCTCTCTCTCACTCTCTCTCTCTCTCTCTTTGTTCCTCTCTCTCGCTCTTTCTTACTCACTCCCTTCCCCTTATCATATCCCCACTCTCCTATCCCTCCCTCTTATCACCCTCCCCTCTATCCCTCCCTCTTTATCTCCCACCTCACCTTATCTCGGTCTCCCAACTTGACGGTGAGCCTCAGCATCCCCGACTGCAGCGCGAGTTCGATCTTGTCCGACGACTGCGAGGACGTGGTGGCGACGAGGAGCCCCGCGGGACGGTTGGTGCGGAACCTGAAGGAGATGTCCTCCGCCTGCGTGCTCGATTCGTCGCCTGCCGTCACCTTGAAGTACTGGTTGCCTTCGAAGCTCAGGGTGGCGGCGTCTGTGGTTCGGGGGAGGGGGTTAGGGTGTCGGAGGGGGGAGAGGGGGTTAGGGATTGGAGGGGTAAAGGGTATGAGAAGGGGGAGGGGTGTGGGAGATGGATGGGGGGGGGTAGGGGTGTGATAAAGAGGGGTAAGGGGAGACGGAAGGAGGGTAAGGGGTGATATGAGGAAGAAAGGTTGAATAGGAAGGGAAGGAACGGTGATAAGGGAGAAAAAAATGGAACTATTAGCTGGTATCATTATGATTATTATTATCATTATCATCGTTATTATTACTATTATCCTGATACCCAAAAAATGATGCTAACAATTTTATGATAAAAAACGATGAATAATGTAGTGATTATATTAATTAGGATAATGGTAATGATGATACCATATAATGGCGATGGCATTCATCATAATGATCAGAACAAAAACAATTGCCAATAATAAGAGCAACAATGACAAAGGTGATATTTAGGATTATGGTCCTTATGATAACAATACTGATTGACAACAATGCTAATGATAACAACAATAAAAATGGCAACGATAATAATAGTGATAACAGCAAAGATAAAAAAACAACAATTCCTTTCTTCCTGAACGTTAATCTATTGGGAATCCAGAAAGCTTTGTTCAGCTTCACATCAGATCAGAAGCTGCTTTTCCAGGGTTCGTTAAGCTTCTTACTATTTTTTTAAATCGAAATATGACGATGTTGATTGATTGAGGTGTTGATTATTATTATTGTTAACATTATCATTATCCTTATAATTATGATTATCCTTATAATTATAATCATACTTATAATTATAATTATCCTTATTATTATCCTTATAATTATGATTATCATTATTATCATTAACATTCTTTATTAAAAATATTAATATCATTACTACTATTATGGTCTTTATTATCATCATCATTATTATCATTATTATTATCATTACCATTGCTATCTTTGTATTGTTTAATTTACGTTTGCTTATATCCGCATTTTCTATTGCTTACATACTTATCTTTATCTCAACTAATATAATATCCTTGCTTTCCTCCATTTCTATTGTGATTTATCTATTCTAATTAACTCTCTCTCTCTCTCTTCCCTTACCTTTCCCGCAGGTGGGGCCGACGAAGGTGGTGTGCGAGCAGTCACACACAAAGCGCCCCCAGCCTTGTCTGCAAGTGCCACCGTGCATGCAGGGGGAGGAGGAACAAGAGCCCCCGTCGCTGTGGCAGAATTTGACGATGGATCCTGTGGGGGGAGGAGGGAGATGGGGGGATTAGATGGGGGGATAGGGAGAAGGGAGGGGAGAGGGGTGGGGAGAAAGGAGGGGAGAGGGGTGGGGAGAAGGGAAGGTAGATAGGAGAGGATTGAAGTGTGTAATCAGTAACTACAAATTCACAAAGTAGCTATGGTATAGTCTCACTTCTAAAACCAACGTCGAAAAAAACAATGAATAAAAGACGCAGCTACAAACTAATTCAAAATACAGTAAAATATAAACAAAACGAGTCACAGTGAATTCGTATTTACCACGTCTGATAAGGACCTCACGGCTTGTTCGAAACGTCACGTTTTATTTCTCTTTTATCGTGACAATGTTTTCATTCTGATTGCGTGTATACGTTAATGTATTTGTGATTTTATTTTGATTGTCTGTACACGCTTCTGTGTTTGTGTTCCTGCTTTCATGCTGATTGCACGTACACATGACTGTATTTATGTGTGTTTTTATTTTGATTGTTTGTACACGTTACTGTCTTTGTATTTAACATCATCTACTCCTTCCCTTACCTGAATCCTGCTTCTTAGCGTACGTCGTGAGATCCGAAGCCTGGCCATTGATTACCAGATCCCTCATGCATCCTACGTATCCTAAGCCAAGGCGTCCTGTCCACAGCTCCGGGGGGACGCTGACTCCTACGCCGACGCCTCCCAGATAGAGGGCTCCTTCGAGATCCAGCTGATGCGAATCTCCTGGAGGGGAAGAGGATGCTTAGGTGTATGTGTGTAAACAAATTTTAAACACGTAAGCATATCCACGAACAAACATAAATCGCCCCAAGTACACTATCCTATCTTGCACCAACATGCTCATAGCAACAAAACACTACGTTATCTTTTTTTTTTTGC